ACCCCAAATTGTCCCACTGTGGGACATATAAACACAAATAATTCTATCTCACCTTAGAATCATAGAATCACAGAATGGTTTGGGTTGGAAAGGACCTTAAGATCATCCAGTTCCAACCCCCTGCCATGGGGAGGGACACCTCACACTAAACCGTGTCACCCAAGGCTCTGTCCAACCTGGCCTTGAACACAGCCAGGGATGGAGCATTCACAGCCTCCCTGGGCAACCCATTCCAGTGCCTCACCACCCTAACAGTAAAGAACTTTTTCCTTATATCCAATCTAAACTTCCCCTGTTTGAGTTTTAACCCGTTACCCCTTGCCCTGTCACTGCAGTCCCTAATGAAGAGTCCTTCCCCAGCATCCCTATAGGCCCCCTTCAGATACTGGGAGGCTGCTCTGAGGTCTCCACACAGCCTTCTCTTCCCCAGGCTGAACAGACCCAACTTTCTCAGCCTGTCTTCATATGGGAGGTGCTCCAGCCCCTGATCATCCTCATGGCCTCCTCTGGACTTGTTCCACCAGTTCCATGTCCTTTTTATGTCAAGGACACCAGAACTGCACACAATACTCCAGGTGAGGTCTCACGAGAGCAGAGTTCATGGGCAGGATCGAACTTTTTATATCATTCTTTTGAAATCCTGTCCTGAAAGCAGGAATCATTGAAGCTCACATGCTGAGGGAATGCACCCACAGGGAACTTCATCTGACACCTGACTTAGTTGCAAAAGAAAAGAGCAAGAAGTAAATGATGGTACTCTGCTAGCAGTTTGACAATAACAAGCTAACAAGCAACAGAAGATAGGTGACATATCAGGAGAGATTTCCCAAAACACTGAATGCATATCCCACATTTCATTCAGGCTCCACAGGATACTCTGCACTTGATTACAGAAACACCCTGGAAAAAGAGAGATCCCAAACCCAGCAATTAATACCTGGAACATCCTAGAGTGCAATATACTTGCATTGATTTAAAGCTGATTTTTATGGATTTACAACTTCATAAGGGAAAGGGCTTATGACTGTTTATACAGGACTGCAGACGTGTACAGTCAGTTAAATACTGGGTTATTTAAGCCGAGTTTTCTCCTGTAGAAGTCCTGCTGTGCCTCCAGGCTGTTTTCATGCTACTACACACTTCCAGCAGCATTTCTGTGTTACTGGGGAGAGTTCCAGCTCTCCTCCACACTCACTTTGGGCCATGTCACTTGCTTCATTTCTAATGCTTTCTGTCACTGACAGTTGTAGTTTTGGAGCACAGTGAAACCTGATTATGTCTTAGTGGGCAATTCCACCCAAAAATGACCTCAGTTCTTGAAAAGTTTTGGGTTGAAAGAGTGGTTTGAAAGCTCTATAAGAGCATTCTTTTATACATGCTATTTATATGTGATACTAACAATTACAGAGTGGGATAAGAACAACTGCTTAAACATTTAAATCAGGTTTCTTTAAAGCAAAAAAAGACAGAAGTGACTGTTGGACACAATACCCACCTGGATTTCAAGCTGATATTTCCCAGAACTAATATCTCTTAAATAATGAATTATCACTTTTGGAAAAACAGAGCATTTTCTAACCATTCTGGAAGCAAAGTTTAGTATTTAGGACCAGCTTTTCAAATAGTCTATACCAGCAATGGCAATCTGGGGTAAATATTTTATCTACAGATAGGCTAGTGACAAATGATACATCTTTTCATGAGAAGAGATACACTGATCTAAGGATCCTTCCCTTTGTAAACTACATTAATCAATCCCCCTAGTTTATAAATGGCTTTTAGTCATTGATAACAATGGTACAGTGGCAAAAAATTGCACTCAGAGCAGAAAGAGCTATATTTTATTCTTAACTCAGAGGGGATTTAACCTCACACTTCCCAGCTCTCAACTGGCCTGGCTTTTAAGAAGTTATCCCAGAGTGCCTGCATTAGACTTCTCACATATTCCATGTTCTGCTTTGCATATAAAATCAGACCAGAAGTGAAGCAGACCGCGACTCTGTGATCTGATGTGTTCACATGGTTACAAAGACGTTGAGGGTTCTGGTGGCCTCCTTCCTCATGGACCATTCATTATTTCACAGTTACTGATTTAATCCAAATTAATGCTTGGCAGAGGGACCAAAACCTGATTTTTGTCCTTTTACTGTTGTAATTACTAAGCTACAAAGCCACATTGGATTCTTTTTGTCAAATCAATTGCAATATTTATTTATAAAAACCCCAAACTATTTCTTTTATTACATTGTTAACTTCAGTTCACTCAAGAAAGAAGCTTTCTGAGTGATGAGGACCAACGATACAAGCACTATGAAAAAGATACAGCACCACCTATTGGGGATATGTTATGTACGCTGACTATTACAGTTTTAAGTAGTAACAGTTTTGTTCTTTGTTGTAATAATAAAATCACAGACTCCACGAAGTTGGAAAAGACCTTTAAGATCATCAGGGCCAAACTTTATCCCAGCACCACCAAGGCCACCATTAAACCATGACACTGAGGGCCGTATATTCATGGTTTTTGAACATTCTATGGATGGTGATTCCACGACTGCCCTGTGCAGCCTGTTCCAATGCCTGAGCACCCTCTCAGCGAAGAAATTTTTCACAATATCCAGTCTAAACCTCCCCTGGTGCAGCCTGAGGCAGTTTCCTCTTGCCCTGTCATTTGTCACTTGGGAGAAGAGACCGACCCCACCTCTCTCCATCCTCCTGTCAGGCAGTTGTAGGGAGAGATAAGGTCCTCCCTGAGCCTTCTTTAGACTGAACTCCCCAGGTGTCTCAGCCCTTCCCCACCACACTTGTGTGTCAGACCCTGCACCATCTCCCTTGCCCTTCTCTGGCCCTGCTCCAGCACCTCAATGTCTCTCTTGTAGTGAGGGACCCAGAACTGAACACAGCATTCAAGGTGAAGCCTCACCAGTGCCCAGTACAGGGGGACAATCACTGCCCTGACCCTGCTGGACACACCACTGCTGATGCAGGCCAGGATACCATTGGCCTTCTTGGCTGCTTGGGCACAAGCTGCTCATATTCAGGCAGCAACACCCCCAAGCCCTTTTCCACCAAGCAGCTTTCCAGCCACTCTTCTCAAAGCCTGGAGCATTGCACGTGGTTCTTGTACCCCAAGTGCGTGACCCTCCACTTTGTGTTGTTGAACCTCATTCAATTTGCCGCAGCCCATTGATCCAGCCTGTCCAGAACCTTCCTACTCCCTACCCTGTTGATGATGATCAACAACCTGAAGTTCCTTAGAATGTGGCTGCTAAAAGCAGGAGATACAGGCTTGTATAGAAATGTGGATCCCAGCGCCAATGAAATATAGACCATTTGAACAGTTTAAACAAGAAAAGAAAGTGCAAATTTAAGAGCTAAGAAAGGAAGAATCACTTTAGTAAGATTAAAAGCACTAACAAAACAGTTAATCAAGGGCAGGGAAAGAGAAAGAATATCAACTGGTGAACACCTCTTGAGTTTGACCACTGTTATGACTCCCAATCACCTTAGTCATGTTGTAACAATAAGGCATCAGCTCTGGAGTATGATATACTCCCAGCTCATCTAGGATGAAGTGTTAAGGGCTGATTGCTTTGCATATGCAGCGCTACTGACTGATAATGTGCAAGAGTGACTGTGACAGTGACTGAGAGAACGGATTATTAGTATGGAGTGCTTTCCTAATGAATATTCATGAATAGTAAAATTTTGCTTTACATTTTGAAACTGGCACTCCCAGCACAGCAAGTTCTGATTCTTTAAATGGTGCATATATACACACACACAATCCCCCCCCCCAGTTACATACATACCACTGTAACAGTGCTTTGAAACAAGTTCATCTGCACATTGCTCATGTTTTCCTCTCTTGGCGGGTAAGTAATGCACAAGCACATCCAGCAAATCTCTGCCACAACTCCTGACCATCTTCTAAGTGTAAAATACCCACTTTAGGGATGTTTCATACCCAAGTTACTTGTTTTGTTTATCACAAACGCTCCTGTGCTATCGTGTAACACCTTGGTAGCAACAGGATTGTGTTGTCATCCTAAACCAGAACATTGATTTTCCTGGATCCAGTGCCAGAACTCATCACCCTGGAAATAACTCACTACTCTGGAACTGTAGAATACATAGAAGCATTTTTAGGGTTCTTTTTAAGCCCCCATCTATTTGCTATAGATTCCCAGAATAGAGACTGTTCTGCTGCAAAACAGTAGTGACATGTTCGATACATAGTACAGTTACAGGATCAGAGGTGAAAAGCATGCACCACTGCAAAGTTCCAGACCTTAAGCCTTGGCCTGCCTTGGAATTGAGCTTTGTCAATCCGCAATCCTGACTGGATACGGGATAGTAGGATTCAAAAAGCTTTGGGAAGCAGCAAAACTGCTTTTAGTTTTCTTACTACATAGTGATTTGTTTTCATCATAATTTATTGTGAGCCCCTACAGAGCAGCCTTATCAGTGTCACTCAACAGATGCAGCAAGACAGCCATGGAACAAGGATGTAGGCAAATCTCATTTAATGAATGTCTTTACCAATCAAAGCCTAAACTTATATGAATGTCACATTTATATTGTAGGGCTTCACACTTCATGTTTTAACAGTGCATCGGTATTTTAAACCATTTTTAGCTTAAGGACTGTTCTATCAGAACTGTTACCAGTGTTCTTCCTCACTCTGTTAGAGCCCATGCAAGTTTCCAGTCCTACTTTCACCACTAAAGCAGAGTATGAAAAGCTGGCCCCAGCATTCACCTTTCTTCAGAGCCACAAACAAAACGACTGTTTGTGTACTGTCCCCAAATGTGTTCATTTCACTACAACTGAAGCTCTGGTTTCTGCTTCCTGATAGCTGCAATGTACTGACATACATATGACCTTCTTTCACAAGCAAATTATGACTGGTCTCTATTAAGCCTCCGGTTTTGTTGTTTGTTTGCACACCACCACTACTGACCTCCCAGGCCACCTTTTTCGACTGAAAAGGCATCTTCTCTTTCCATGTTGCCAGCTTTCAGCCAGGTCACCCCATGGACCTGTTGGCACAGCTCTGAGTTCTTTAGCAAGAGAGGCTGTGGCAACACTGGAGTGAGGGACAGACAAGAAAGGCTCCTGCAAGTCATTTATGAAATCCCATCCTCAAGCACCTAACAATGACAGAGGCTCCAGGGTATTACATCCTAACAGAATGGTGCATTTATTTGCTACTTTGGGTAAGTTACTAAAAATGTAGACATTTGCCCTGTGCCTTGTATAAAGCATTTAAGTAAATGCTTAAATTCAGAGCTGGTGACCCCACTAATAGGGCTAAGCACCCACAAGTTAAGTGCTGCAGCACTCTGCATTTCTCATCTACAGCAGTAAGCAGTCACATCTTCATTCAGTGAAACTTTGTTTCCAAGTGCGAGGAAGGGATGGATACAAGAGATCAAGTCCCTTTTGCCTGCTTCAGTTTTTACTTGCAGTGGTCTAATAAATCCCCAGATTTTACTGAAGGAGCAGTACAGGAGTAGGCTGTTGTGCACACTATGCTGATAATGGCAAACTGGTATTTGAGAATTCTGAGCTTTCAGGCTTTTCGCTAATTCTTCACTAATTTTACTCCAGCTTATTCTTCAAAGTTTGAATTATTTATCATAAAGAATGGTCTGGGTTGAAGATCATCCAGTCCAGTCCCCCCTGCAACAAGCAGGGACATCTTCAACTAGATCACATTGCTTAGAGCCCCATCTAATCTGATCTTGAATGTCTCCAGGGACGGGATGTCCACCATCTCTCTGGGTAACCTGTTCCAGTGTTTTACCACACTCATCATAAAATCTGTTTTCCTTGTATCTAGTGTGAATCTCCCCCTTTTTAGTTTAAAACCATCACCCCTTGTCCTATCACAACAGGCCCTCCCCAAAAGTCAGTGCTCATCTTTCTTAAAACCCCCTTTAGGTATTGAAAGGCCAAAATAAGGCCTCCTGACCCTATTCCTACACAACCACACAGCATCCCTATAATCATCCCAGGATAGCTGTCCCTGCTTCCATTGCCTGTGCATTTCCTTCTTGCCCTTTGGTTTAACCAGCAGGTCTCGACTCAGCCATGCTGGTCTCTTGCCTCCCTTCCTTGATTTCTTATACATGGGGATCAAGAGCTCTTATGCTCTATGGAAAATGTCCTTAAAGATCTGCCAGCTCTGTTCTGCTCCCTTGTCCATGCTGGCAGCTTCCCAGGGGATCCTACTGACTAACTCCTTGAACAGTGGGAAGTTTACTTTCCTACAGTTCAGGGTCCTGACATCACTCTTCAGCTGACCCATATCCCTCAGGACTGTGAGCTCCACCACTGCATGACCACTGCAGCCCAGGCTGCCTCCAGTCCTGACATTTCTGATGGGCTCACTTGCATTGGTGACCAGCAGGTCCAGTAACACATCCCCTCTGGTAGGGCTATTACCTGGCTTAAGAAGTTATCCTCAATGCACTCCAGGATTGCCTACAGCTCACAGTGGTACTTCTCCAGCAGACACAGGGGTGGCTGAAGGCCCCCAGCAGGATGAGAGCTTGCGAGCGTGATGCTTCCTGCAGCTGGAATAAGAAGCTACATCAACAGGCTGTCCTCCATCAGGCAGCCTGTAGTAAAGACCAGCTACAAAGTTCCCTTGTAGTCTCAGTATCTATTCTTACCCATAACTCTGCAACTTGCTCATGTCTATTCTTGAAACAGCTTTCACAATCTACCCATTTCTTGACATTTTTCCACCCCTCCTTCCTGGCCTGTCCCTTCTGAACAGCCTGCAGCCATCATCAGTCACATTCCAGTCATGGGATTTGTTCCATGGAGCTCCAGTTATGGCAATGGGGTTGTAAGCTTTCTAGCAGCATGACGGCTTCCAGCTCCTCCTCTTGGCTGCCTGTGCTGCATGCATTGGGGTAGAGGGACTTAAGCTGGGCTGTCAGTGTGTCACCTTTTTGGGGGAACCACCTTCATTCCTTTGAGGTGTTTCACCAGTTTCTCTCTTAGCTCCTATTACCTCAGGAGCCCCAAAACTGTGACTGTCACACCAGCCACGGAGCCATGTATTAATAGACTGGATCTGTGTCTTCCAGCATCACTGCCCACAACTGGAAGGATAAAGGAAAAATTACCTGTGCTCCAGATTCCCTTACCAACCTTCCCGAGGCCCTGAAGTCTCTTTTGATTGCCCTTGGTCTGTGCATTGCAACTTCATCGCCACCCCCATGGAGGAGCAATAATGGGCAGCAGGCTGAGGGCCATACCAGGATAGGAGGTTTCTTAGTGATGGCCTTAACCCAGGCCCCAGGAAAGCAGCAGACTTCCCACACAGGAGGGTCTGTGGCATTTCAGGCCCTCTGTTCCTCTCAGAAGAGAGTCACCTGCAGTTATAATCCACCCTGATGTACCTGTCACAATACAGGGGTAAGCCTTTCTGATCTTGGCAACACCTCTGGTGTAGAGGGACCATCATCCACATTAACAATTGACTTACCTTCCACATCTACAGCCTCTTCCCTGTTGTACAGAGGCACCTGGGAGGGTGAGACGGGCAAAGACAAGTTTTGCTTGCAAGCCTGAGCATAGACTTGCCTCTATTCCCTCATTTCCTTTAAGCTACTGCCTTCTGCCCAGTGGGGAGAGGATACAGGACCCCCTTGATCTTGCTTGGTTTTTCCTGGTGATTGTTCCCATCTCAGGGAGGGCAGAGCATGGCTCCGCAGCCAATCTCTTTCTCAGACTCCCTGATGCTTCTTAACCTTTCTGTTTCCTCCCATAGCTCTGCCAACAGGCGCAGCAGTGTCTTGGTCACACCTCTCATGGCTGCTCTCACTAATGCCATCAGTTACTAATGAAGGACCTGGATGGGTCCATGTTTCTGTGAGAGCTCTGGCTTGGTTGCCACTGGTGAGTGGAAACAGCTTTCTGCTGGTGGATACCCCCTGCAGCCTGGGCCAGCTCCGTCGCAGCATCACCAACACTGAACAAATGCTCTTTAAGTAACTTGCCTGGAAGTGGTTTGACTGCACATAAATAGCAAATGGAGTTGTTCTGCTGGGGAAGATGTTCTGATTGAGGGAAGTGCCCACTTCTCGCTCAAAACAACCATTTTCTCCTGCTCCTTTTGACAAGATGATTTCAAAGCAAGCACCCATGTCTCTAAAGGAATGACAAACACGCCAAACCTGCCATTCACCCTCTGAGTTACAACTGCACAGTCCTGACTCATTCAGCTACATTAGACTCAGCTGATTCTGCTGTCACCTGGACACAGCTGGAAGGAGACTTCATTTACTGGAAGAGCAACAGACAGACCTCAGCTGATTCAGCCCTTCTTAGAGATGCCTTCTCAAAGGTCTAAACCCACTGTGTCCCAGGACTCTAGGCAAGCCCTGCAGCACGTGAACTGTGCTCTGAATGACACCCATCAAATGCACTCTGTCAAGAACACAAGAGCAGAAAGCATTTATTTGGCACCCTGAATAACAGCGCTTGTTAAATGCAGAGCATGGCACATAGTGATGGCTTGTTTTGGAGACCATTCACAAATATTGGCCATTCTGCACTCTGAGGTAAATGGAATTCCTTTGCGACACCTTTGGGGACACTGCCCAACACACAACAAGCAGGTCTCAGCCTCTCCTGTTCACTGCATTAATGTCCTGCTCCATCATCAGGCTTGTGCTGTTTGCTCTGATGAGTCTTCCCTATGGCATTTTCTTTTAGTTTTCATGGAATCCCAGACTGGTCTGGGTTGGAAGGGACCTTAAAGCTCATCCAGTTCCAACCCCTGCCACAGGCAGGGACACCTTCCACTAGAGCAGCTTGCTCCAAGCCCCTGTGTCCAACCTGGCCTTGAACACTGCCAGGGATGGGGCAGCCACAGCTTCTCTGGGCACCCTGTGCCAGCGCCTCAGCACCCTCACAGGGAAGAGCTTCTGCCTAAGAGCTCAGCTCAGTCTCCCCTCTGGCAGGTTAAAGCCATTCCCCTTGGTCTGTCCCTACAGGCCCTTGTCTCAAGCCCCTCTCCAGGTTTCCTGCAGCCCCTTCAGGCACTGGAGCTGCTCTAAGGTCTCCCCTTCAGGAGCCTTCTCTTCTCCAGGCTGCCCCAGCCCAGCTCTCTCAGCCTGGCTCCAGAGCAGAGCTGCTCCAGCCCTCGCAGCATCTCTGTGGCCTCCTCTGGCCTCGCTCCAACAGCTCCAGGTCCCTCTTGTGCTGCTGCCCCAGAGCTGGATCAGGACTGCAGGAGGGGTCTCCCCAGAGCACAGCAGAGGGGCAGGATCCCCTCCCTGAGCTGCTGCTCACGCTCTGGGGGTGCAGCCCAGCACACGGGGGGGTTCTGGGCTCAAGAGCACACTGAAGCTGGGTCATGGGGAGCTTCTCATTGACCAGCACCCCCAAGTCCTTCTCCTCAGGGCTGCTCTCATCCTCTGCCCAGCCTGGGCTTGTGCGGGGATCGCCCGTACGCAGGCACAAGCAGGTCACAGCCCTCACTCCCTCTATAACGATGACACACTCGAGGCTGTTTTCACTCTGAGGAGCTGAGGTAAAAGCAGACCCCTGCGAGAACACCGCTGTTTAACGGGGAGCTCCGCGGGGCGCGCAGCCGCCGGCGCTGTGCCTGCCTGCGCGGGAAAGGACGGGCCTGTTCCATGGGCTGGGCTGGGCTGGGCTGGGCTGGGCCGGGCTGGACCGGGCGCGGCCGGGCGGAGCCGCTCAGCGCCGGGACACGGTCGGGACCGGACGAGAGCCGCCGGGGCCGGGACAGGCCGAACAGGAGACCCCACCATGGCCGCTGCACTGCCCCTCAACCCACAGCGCCCTTCCCACCATGCCGTCGGCCCCTTCTACGCTGCGATTGGCGGAGCTCTGCTGGTCAGCGCCGCCGCGCCGGTCCCGGATTGGACAGCGCCGCTGACGAGTGTGGTGCGTGTAGGTTCTCCGGGGTTGCGATTGGCTCAGGGCGCCATTATAAATCTGCCTCACGGAGGCGCGGCCCCTTTCCTCCCCGGCGGCCCAAGGTGCTGTGTCCTTCAGCTGAAGCTAAGGCCGTCCCCGGCGACTGGCACCGAGCCCCGCCATGGCCTCCGTCTCCGAGCTCGCCTGCATCTACTCCGCCCTCATCCTCCACGATGACGAAGTCACCGTCACGGTGAGTGCGGGCCCGGCCGCGCCGCCACAAGATGGCGGCAGCCGCGGCGTGGCCGGGCCGGGCGCTGAGCGCCGGTCTCGTTGCAGGAGGACAAGATCAACGCGCTCATCAAGGCGGCCGGAGTGAACGTGGAGCCCTTCTGGCCGGGACTCTTCGCCAAGGTGGGCGGCGGGGAGGAGGGAGGGTTGCGGTCGGGGCTGCCGGGGGCCGTAGACCCGACACGGGTACCCTGGAAATGCCGCCTTTGACGGTGTGAACAGCACCGGGTTGCGCAGCCGTGCTGCGGGGCGAGCCGTGCTGCTGGTTCGTGGTGGTCATGGCGTGACCCGGCAGAGCTGCCCTCCGTGTTGAGCCCGTGTTAACGAGCCCTTCTTGATGCCGCTTGTCCCCAGGCTCTCGCCAACATCGACATCGGGAGCCTGATCTGTAACGTAGGAGCCGGTGGGGGTGGCGGTGCTCCAGCTGCGGCTGCCCCCGCGGGCGGTGCTGCGCCGGCGGGCGGGGCTGCCCCTGGTAAGTGCGCGGCTGTCACCCGGAAGCGCTCGGTTCAAAAGCGCTTTGCTGCCAGCCTGAGTCTGCTTGGCTCCTCCTCTTAGAGCTTCAGTGTGGTTTGTGCTCTGCAGCGTGCACGTGGGTGTTAACAACGGCCTTGCCTTTAGAAGGGCTCGAATTGGAATCATCGAATCATAGAATAATTGGGCTGGGAAAGGACCTTAACATCATCCAGTTCCAACCCCCTGCCATGGGCAGGGACACCTCGCACTAAACCATGTCACCCAGGGCTCTGTCCAACCTGGCCTTGAACACTGCCAGGGATGGAGCATTCACAACCTCCCTGGGCAGCCCATTCCAGTGCCTCACCACCCTCACAGTAAAGAACTTCTTCCTTATATCCAGTCTAAACTTCTCCTGTTTAAGTTTTAAGCCATTACCCCTTGTCCTGTCACTGCAGTCCCTAATGAAGAGTCCCTCCCCAGCATCCCTATAGGCCCCCTTCAGATACTGGAAGCTGCTATGTACGCAGCCTTCTCTTTTCCAGGCTGAACAGCCCCAACTTTCTCAGCCAGTCTTCATACAGGAGGTGCTCCAGTCCCCTGATCATTCTTGTGGCCTCTTCTAGACTTGTTCCAACAGTTCCACTTCCTTTCTATGTTGACGACACCAGAACTGCACACAATACTCCCAAGTGAGGTCCCAGCAGAGCAGAGGGGCAGGATCACCTCCTTTTCATGCAGCCCAGCATATAGCTAGCTTTCTGGGCTGTGAGTGCACACTGCTTTGCACTGACTCAATGTAGAGGATAACCTCAGAATTAAGGCTGATCATCCTGTTTATCATAATGAACTTCTCTAAAGCTTTTCAGTTATGATAGGCATTAATATTGAAGGCACAAACCCACTTTCCTACTAGGGGAAATGCTTCCCTCAGGTGTTAGCTTACTCTGTTTGGGCTGCTCAGGCCTTGCTTTTTGATGCTACAGTCATCTTATGTGAAGTCTTTATGCATGTGATGTGCGTGAGCTGATAACAATCAAAATGCTGATTCTGTTCTCTTTTTTTAGCTGAGGAAAAGAAAGAAGAGGAAAAGAAAGAAGAATCAGAGGAATCTGATGATGACATGGGCTTTGGTCTTTTTGACTAATTAGTTTTGTACCTGTCCATAATAAAGAACACTGAATTATACTCTTGTCTCTTAAAGTGGATGCGTGTGAAGAGGAGTGGATGAAGGAGCAGGGTTACCTTCAGGTACCCAAACTGCCATCGGCACGCGTTGGGGTTTACAACTTCCCTTGTCTTTGTACCTAGCGCAGGCGTGGCACAGTGAGGATTAAGGCAGTGTGGAAATGTCACAGAGAGCATGGGAGCTTGGCAGCTACAGGATGAGATCCTGTTTAGCAGCAATGCTGTGACTTGGTGCTGCAGCCTCAGTGAAGCTGTGACATGGCCAGTTAATGCTGCAGCAGCAGTACCAGGTAATGTAACCTAGATTGGGGCAGTAAGGGCTGTGGACAGTAGGGATTACATGAGTTTCACAGTGGAAGGCAGTTGTTCAACTGAACAAGTAGCGATAGCTGTGCTCTTCCTGCAAAGATCCGTGTTGGCAGCTAGAGCTAGAAGGCTGTTCACGAGTGGGTACACTTAAAGCAGACGGAGGCTTGCAGTGCCAGGCACTGAGTTTGTCCTGCTGTGTGTCATCTTTTGTCTTGCCAGAAGAAAAGGAGCATTTCTGCTTTGAAGGGTGGGTGTGGAAGATCATGTAACTTTACACAGGAGAAGTACCTAAGTTTGTGTTTAACTTCTGAACAGGACTTTCCAGAGTGACTTAACAAGGTAAGGGCTGACTTCCATAGGTGTACTGAAATGAAAATTGCATTAGGAGAACATCCCTGCTGTGTACCAAGGTCTCCAGAGTTGTGTTATGTAGGAAGATAGTTCCACATCTGGACCAACCGTGATGTGCTCTGCAGCGTCCCATCTCCCTGCAAAGCTGCAGCTCATTTCTGTTCTGAAAGATGCAGGCACCCATTGGAAGAATTCAGTCCCCTGCTGCTTGGTGG